ATGCGAAAAAGCTCTACCTCCTTTAGTGGACTTTGCTATCCTAGGTACTACCAAAAGTTCAGAGTTTTGCGATCCTTAGGAAGCGTGATGGATTGTAGCGTGATAGAAGACTAGTTAGGCACGCATGAGCTAACCCCTTAAGGGACTTATATTTTGGAGACATTTTAGAGCCTCTCAGGTTGACCTGTTTGCCTCTCCAGAAACGTCCCACTGCCAGCTGTTGTACTCCCTGACCGAGGGAGCACTCGGCACGGATGCGCTGGCACAGCTGGCCGCGGGGCCTGTGCAAATATGCATCTCCCCAGTGAGCCTTCTCCCAAGAGGTAGTGGACACCATCACTTCGGCGCGAGCACTGTCTACGAGACACGCTTACGCTATGACCACTGGATCGTGGATAGTGGGTGTGCCCTACCCACTCAGGTTGCGAGCTCACTCTACCAGAATTGTTGCATCCTCCTGTGCACTGGCTCGTGGCGCCTCACTGACAGATATTTGTAGAGCTGCGGGCTGGGTGACCCCCCAACATGTTCGCTAGTTTCTGTAGCCTTCGTGTTGAGCCGGTATCCTCCTGTGTTCTCACCTCAAATGGGTAGAAGCACCGAGAGACCCCCGGCTAGTGTCGGCTTGCTAAACTGCTCCAGAGTGTCCGTACAGTTGGCCCTGTTGAGCTCCTCCATCCCATCGGCAGCCAGATGTGGCGGAGTGTCTGGCACCAGGCCCTCACTCGATGAATCCATGAGAACCGGTAGAGGGCTGGGTGTCATATGTAGTGACCTAAGTGGATCCCATATGTGTATTCTTCACAGTATAGCTTGAAGCCTATGTTTCCCCGGGAGACTACTCTGCCATTCCTCAAGAGGGTTACAATCACCTCTAATCTTCCATATGTACCTAAACGGTTATCCATATGTGTAAATGCTTCCGACACCTCCTTCGAGAAGGATGGGGCTTCCGCAACATTCCTGTTCCAAGTAGAATGGGTACGTTTTCCCAGTGTTATCCAATTTCACTGAGTGGGTAGTGCTACGACAACAACGGGTACGTTTTCCCAGTGTTATCCAATCTCACTGAGTGGGTAGTGCTAAGACAACAGTGACTGGCCTTCCTGCTGCGAGCCCTTGTCGATACCCTAGGCTGAGAATCATCAGTTGTTGTATCATTCCTGAAATTCCATATTGATGTACCCTTAGACTGGACCCATAAGCAAGATGGGAGCTGCATGAATTGTAACATAATTATTTAATCTAATATTCTTATCTTCTTCCTGTAGGTTTTTGAAAAGTCCTGCTGCAGAGGAAGTGTGTCAGTATTTCACTGAAGTTCTGGGTAAAAGTCCATTATTACTGAAAGAACTGGATCTGAGTGAAGATAAATTAGAAGATCTGGATTGGGAGAAGCTCTCTGCTCTTTTGATGGACTCTCATAGCAAAGTGGAGAAACTTATGTAAGAATCTGAGTGAAGATAAATTAGGAGACCTGAATGGGGAGAAACTCTCTGCTCTTTTGATGGACTCTCATAGCAAACTGGAGAAAATGAAGTGAGTGAACATGATTTATAACTTTTGTTTTGTTCAGTATAAAGTACTGTCAGTCACATGTGAGCAGATATGAAGAGCTGTTGATCTGATGTGTGTTGAATATGTGCTGAATAATAAATAATGCTGTTTTTGTGTTCAGGCTGAATAATAAATAATGCTGTTTTTGTGTTCAGGCTGAATAATTGTGAGCTGACAGAGAAAAGCTGTTCAGTTCTAGCTACTGTTCTCTCCTCCAAAACCTTCCTGAAAGAGCTGAACCTGAACAACAGCCGTCTGCTGGACTCAGGAGTCAAAGAGATCTGTGAGGGACTGAAGAATCCTGTGTGTGAGCTGAAGATACTCAAGTGAGTTCATTTCACCATCATCTACAGTACACTGAACACTACAATGATCACAGGAATATTTGCACATTTGGTGATGTGCAAAATTAAGCATCGCTAATGGTACGATTATGTCTTCATTATTGATGTATTTATTTATTTATTTATTTTTTAGGCTCAGTAAGTGTTCACTAACAGAAGAAAGCTGTTCAGATCTTGCTTCAGTTCTCAGTTCAGACTCCAGCAGTCTGAAGGATCTTGACCTGAGTAATAACAATCTGCAGGATTCAGGAGTGAAGCTGCTCTCTCATGGACTGACAGATAATTGTAAACTGGAGAAACTCAGGTGAGATGATGTACAACATATTAAAAGTCTCTGGGTCTTTTGTTTGAAAATAATTTTTCAATTTGTTCAATTAACAAGCTTTTTAGGAGATAATATTGTTTAGAATGGATTAATTAGTGGATTGTAACATTTTCATTTCTCTTCCAGACTTTCAGACTGCAGTATCACTGAAGAAGGTTATAAAGCTCTGGCTTCAGCTCTGAGATCAAACACTTCACACCTGATAGAGCTGGATCTCAGAGGAAATGATCCTGGACCATCAGGAGTGAAGCAGCTCAATGATTTACTACTGGATCCAAAGTGTAAACTCGAGACACTGAGGTGAGACCTGATGAAATAATACAAAATAAATTACATGTAGGTGGTTAATTTATATAAATTTGATTGCACTAAAACAGTTGTTGCATCAAAGTGAGTTATTTCAGGATAAAAACCTGAATATTGCGTTTTAAGCAATATTTTCTATATTTTACATTGTACCATAAGAACTAAGTTCCTGTTTCATTTTCTCTTCTGCAGGTTTTTGAGTCCTGATGCAGATGAAGCCTTTCAGTATGTGAATAGAGTTGTGGGTGAAAACCCGTTACTCGTGAGAGAGCTGAATCTGAGTGAACGTGAACTAGACCCAAAACAGCTGGTTCCTCTATTGGTGGATAAACACTGTAAACTTAACATACTGATGTAAGTATTGCCATCAGGACAACACATTTTAGTGTTTTTCGAGGAGTGAAGTGATATTTGAATTACTATGTATTTGTAATCATCCATGACATCAGTTGTCACATACAGCAGTATGTGTGATACAAGTAATAATAACGACATGTGAGAGACAAGCTTTGAGACCATTAAAAATTCAGGAGTGAAGCTGTAATGGACTGAAAGATAACACGCCTTAATGTAGGGAAAACTGAAATTTAGTTTGTCTTTATGCAGTCTGAATAACAGCTCTATCACAGAAGAAGATTGTTGTGCTCTGGTAGCAGCTTTAAATTCAAACCCTTCAAATCTGAAAGAGCTGGTTTTGAGTGGGACTAAACTCAGAGACTCAGAAATGAAGAACTTGTCTACTCTGTTTGAGAATGTACAGTGTAGACTGGAAAAGTTGAAGTAAGTAAATCTTAATATATAAAACAAATGCACAGTGCTGCAAAACAACTAATTTATGGAAATCTTGTTGATTTTGTTTTTTTACTTTGTTCTCTCTTCTATAGGTTGAATTTTATCAGTATTACAAAAGAATATTGTACTGCTCTGGCTTCAGCTTTTAATTCAAACCCCTCAAACCTGAATGAGCTGGACCTGAGTGGGAATCAACTTGGAGACTCTGGAGTAATGGAAATTTCCACTCTACTTGGAAATTCACAGTGCACACTGCAGATACTCAGGTTTGAATTTGGTTAATCTAAATTAACATCCACCAGTCTCCAAAAGTAAGGTTAATAGAAGGGTAAATGTGACACTTTCATTATAGGTTTTTACATTATCTGTGTCTGTAACATCACTTACAGTTGTAAAAATGGTTTAATACATAATTTGTATAGAAAAATATTGACATTGTTTAAATGGAATTGTGTTATTATTCAATGAGTAGTTAATGCATTTGTTGTTCTCTTCTAGACTTTCAGACTGCAGTATCAGTGAAGAAGGTTATAAAGCTCTGGCTTCAGCTCTGAGATCAAACCCTTCACACCTGATAGAGCTGGATCTCACAGGAAATGATCCTGGACCATCAGGAGTGAAGCAGCTCAATGATTTACTACT